CCCCGTGGTCTCTTTTCTCAACAGAAAAATCCCAGCAGACTCTTCTGCCTTTCCTCCGAGGGAAGGTGCTCCAACGTTCTCACCCTCTTGGACGCCCTCCTCTACACTCGTTCCATTCACAGTTGGGAGCACCCAACCCACAGACAAGCCCAGACAGGAAGGCTCTCTAGATACTAAGGAATGCTTGGGGATATGCTTTTGGAGCTGGCATTTTATAGGTTTGGGGAAAGGCCTTGTGGCCCCTGGCAAAACAAGCGACTGGCAGTCCTCTTCGCCAGTCTGGTGTCGTGGTTAAGTGCGCGGACTCTGATCTGGGAGAACGGGGTTTGATTCCCCACTCCTCCACTTGCACCTGCTGGATGACCTTGGGTAAGCCGTAGTTCTGTCAGAGCTGTCCTCTCGAGGGCAGTTCCGGGAAGAGCTCTCTCAGCCCCACCTCCCTCACAGGGTGTCTGTTGTGGGGAGGGGGAGGGAAAGGAGTTTGTAAGCCGCTCTGAGACTCCGAGTGAAGGGCGGGGTATAAATCCAATCTCCTCCTCCTCCAGTCCATCCACTCCTTCCGAGGAAGAGTGCAGAGGACTATCTATGAAGGCCCCTTTCCCTTCCCCCCCCCCTACTACATTCAGCAGTGAGGTTGAGGGGCAAAGCGGTGGTTTCCGTGGGAATCCTACTGAATCCATGAAGAACGATCACAACTGAGGTCCATGGAACTTCGGACATTGACATCCACCGCATCCAATGCTCACTTAATGTCCTTTGCTCAGAGATATAAACAAACTAAGCACTGGACCTTGTCAGTGTTTATTAACGAATGATTCTCCTCTCCCTTCCCCTCGGAATGGGCAGCAATAGGGTCAGGGGCCCAGGAAGCGTGTGGGTGTCCCCCCGGGGGGGTTGTGTTTCTCAAGCACCCCCCCCCTTAATTCCACAAACACACAAAGGCCGCTCCTGATAGTGAAGGGATTTGCAAAAAGCAGACTGTGATACGGCATGGGGGCTGCCTGTTCAGGGGGGAAAGGTAAAAAGATTTTGGGTTAAATGTAAAAAATAATAATAATAATTTTCCTTGGAAGCACGGAAGCTTTTTCGCAGTATCTTCGATCCTCCACATTTTCCGGCGAAGGGGAAAATGCATTTACAGACAAATCACAAAGATGACCTGATTCCAATGGTAGCAAGAGAAAGAAATTTTACTTACAAAAACAGAAGCACGTCTTACATGACATATTCATGCAGGGCCATTTAAGTTATTGTGAACAGATTAACTTCAGAAAGGTTAACTTGCTACAGCTCCAAGTCCAGGTAAGAGAGAGAAGAAGAGAGATCCCATATAAGATTCAAAAGAGAAGGCAAAAGCCAAGGGCCAAATAGGCGCAACCTCTAACCCATGAGAGGGTGGGGTCAATGGCCAGGTGTGCCCGTGAGGGAATTCCTTCTCGCATGCAGAGTTACTACATTCAACAACAACAACAAAAAACCCTCGGGAGGGGGGGTGCCTAAGTCTTCACAGCAACACCTGAAGGCCACTGCGGGGCCAAATTTTGCCAGGAAGACTGGAAAACAGATTGTAAAAGTTTTAATTAGGTAAAGGTAAAGGTTCCCTTGCTCGAAAGCCAGTCGAATCCGACTCTAGGGTTGCGGTGCTCATCTCCGCTTCCAAGCCGAAGAGCCAGCGCTGTCCGAAGACGTTTCCGTGGTCATGTGGCCGGCATGACTAAACACCAAGGCGCACGGAATGCTGTTACCTTCCCACTGAAGTGGTCCCTATTTATCTACTTGCAATTTCTTACTTTCGAACTGCTAGGTTGGCAGGAGCTGGAACTAGAGACGGGAGCTCACTCCGTCATGCGGCGCACTCGGGTCTCGAACTGCTGAACTACCCACCTTCCACAGCCTGCAGTTCAGCGTCTTAACCACTTGAGCCACCGCAGCGCCAAAAGTTTTAATTACCAGTTAATTAATAACCCATACTGGGCTTGCTTAGCATAAAGTTTTCCAGTTCTCACCCCCTTTGCAAATCAGAAATCTTTAACAGCTTGAGGAGAGACCCATTCGAAATGCATGGCTGCACCCACTAAGACAGGCAACATTAGCTCCCGCAGCAGAAAAAACTCTGCATGGGATAAGGTCTGTGCCCAGGAAAACACGTGCAGGGTTGCTTCTAATGCAGCTTCTACAAGCAATAAGGGCACCTCATAATAAAGGCTTTAAAGGTATGTTTCAATGTACAGCCTTGAGAGAGATGCTCATACTCACCGAAAAATCCAAGGTGCACGTTCTTGGGTAGCCAGGTATTCCTGGGCTGAAGCGCCACATCGTTTCCAAATTATTAAACAGCTTCCCATCTGTACAAGATGCCTGGGAGAAAGTTAAGAGGAGACTGGATTTATATCCCGTCCTTTAGTGCCCAAAGGAGTCTCAGAGCGGCTTACACTTCCCCTCCTCACAACAGACACCCTGTGAGGTAGGCGGGGCTGAGAGAGCTCTGACAGAAACTTCTCTTTAGGGACGGCTCGTATCAGAACTATGGCCTGCCCAAGGTCATCCAGCCAGGTGCAAGTGGAGGAGTGGGGAATCAAACCCGGTTCTCCCAGATTAGAGTCCGCGCACTTAACCGCCACACCAAAGTCTATGAACACTCCCACATTTGGTTCAAAAAGCCCCCTCCAGCTTAAGACCTGGATTTTAACCTCCCTTTCCATTTACCTTACAAACAGAGAGGAGAGCAATTTTTGCCAGTTCCCTCCCCTCTCACTGCATCCCCCTCCCCTTGATGTTCCTGGGGGCTCCACCGACCCACAGGGGCTCAGCTCTGGGGTTCACAAGAGCCTGTAGCGGAAGGGGGAGGAGGCGGGGAAACTGCCCTTTATGCAGCCAAGGGATACCCAGGGGCCAGGCCTCACCTCTTAAACATCTCAAAAGGATGTGTCATACTTCTGTACTGATCAAAGGACGCGTGTGCGGTGAAAGGACACCTTACCCTAGGTATCTGTGTAAAAGTTTACGGCTCTGCATGCCAGGAACAGTCAGTGGGTAAACGGACACCCGCCTTCACAGGTAGGCCAAGGGTTCCAAAACAAGTCTTCTATTATTATTTGATTTATATCCCGCCCTCCCCACCCAAGCGGGCTCAGGCCGGCTTACGACATTCACAAGTACAGTAAGAAATACAATTAAAACATCATAAGCATATGAAATAACTTAAAATAACAGTCATTTAAAACATAAACACGTCAACGCTGGAAGACATCAAGGAATAAGTGCAACCATTCTGTATGGCGTCGCTTAGGCAACTGTTAGGTGACTCTACTTTCACACCAGCTCAGCTCTTGTTATTGTGTGGCGGGCATAGGCTGAAGGCGATGACGGTAGGGCTCGCGGCACAGGCTGGAAGCAAAGATGGCGAGGCACAGGGCACTGGGACACTCCTCGGTGTATGGTGCGGCTCCTTAGCCAAACGCCTGGTGGAAGAGCTCCATCTTGCAGGCCCTGCGGAACTGTAAAAGGTCCCGCAGGGCCCTGATCTCTTCCGGGAGCTTGTTCCACCAGATTCCACCAGATAGCTTGCCAACTGCAAGAACTGGCAGGGTGGCCGTTCACATGTTGATACAGCGAGCCAGAGAGGCAACAGAGCTGTCCCTGGGACTGGGAAACAGCAGGAAGGCAAGGATCTTCCAGATCACGTTTCATGAGGTAAAGACGGGAAGGGGTCCTCTGGGCTGCAGACCAGAATTTTCAGGAGATCAAAGTGCACAGCTGGCTCGGATGAGAAAGAATATTTGCGGGTTTTCCAGGGAAGGAAGTCTTGGAAGCCTGCCGGGTTAACTGAAGCCCCCGTCACACACTCTGAGCCTGCCCCGCCCTCCCGAGGGGGCCGCGGGGAGGACTGAGTGGGAGGAGATGGGGATGATAAGGGGGAAAGGTGCTTCGGGTCCCCACTTAGGGAAAAAAGTGGGATATCAATAAAAAAAATTAAAAATATTTCTCATAAATGGAGGGCAACGTTAGCTTTTTAAAAATAGGTCCACGGTAGTTCTTTCCGAAGCCCGGCTATATTAATGAGCACTAAGGGTCAAAGCCTTTTATTTTTCAATATAAGACAAAACAAACAAGCAAACACACACACACAAAGAGCGGGGGGGGGACACATACAAATACACACAAAAAACAAATTTGGGGGTTACAAGTATCTTATTATATCTATTACATTACCTACTACCTTGTATCGCTATGAAATAATCAGTTTTTATCACCATATATTTTTCTGTAGCTGTCCTGCATTGTATTTAAAATTTAATCTAAAGGCTCTCCAGATAAAATCATAAGTCTAAATTGTTCATTTGTAGTATTCTTCAAGCCATTTATTAAAATCTCGACCATGTACTCTGGAATCTCTTTTCTCCTTGTCCTCTCAAAACAAGAGTCAGTTTATCCATCCCCGCACTTTCAAGAGTTTTGCTTAGCAGTTCTTCTTTGGAGGGTATTTTCATCTTTCCTCAACGCTGAGGTGGGTGACAGAGCCCCGGACACGACGGAGGGAGGGGGCAGGCCCGGAACCACCCTTGCACCCATTCACGGCACAGCAATATTCAAAGAGGTGCGATAGGAGGCTGGGTTTTGAGAGCCCGGCCTTTCCTTTTGAGCTCTTTTCAGAAACGGAATATGAGCGGAGGGAGGCTGTTCTCCCCGGAAGGAGCTGCCAGGAGGGGGGGAGGGAGGGAGGGGGGCTTAAGAGCCCAAAAGTGCGTGAGCTGGGGCTTTTTTTAAATAAAGCCAAACCAGTTTCTGACAGCGCCTCAGGATAGTTCCCTTTTCCATGACGCAAACGTGCAGCCTGAAGAATGGGCTTCCTGCTGGCGCTGCTTCTGCACAGGTTTAACGAGGGATTTGCTTCTGCCCTTGAAACAATGGCTCCGAGGAAACAAAGGAAGCGGCACGCAGAGGGCAGGAAAATAAAACAAGGAAGATCTCAAAGGGTTGCCAGCCTCCCTCTAAGCTGTGGAGTCCTGAGAGCAAAAATTCTACTTTGTGAGCTGGTGGCATTAAAGCTGTGAGCGAGCGATTTCGCTGCTGCGTTAATTAGTTTTCTCTGGAGCCATCCTCCCGGAGCGAAGACAAAAATGTGTGAGCCGGGGGCTAAGAAACTGTGAGCTTGCTCACACTAACGCAGCTTAGAGGGAACACTGCTTGCAAGCAATGCTCCCTCTAAGCCGTGGAGTCTTGTGAGCAAAAATTCTGCTTTGTGAGCTGCTGGCATTAAAGTTGTGAGTGAGCGGTTTGCCTGCTGCGTCAATTAGTTTGCTCTGGAGCCCTCCTTCCCGAGCCGAGGCAAAAATGTCCGAGCTGAGAAGAATGGAGATTCCAGAGCACATGGTCAAGATTTTATAAATGGTTTGAAGAATACCATAAATGAAAAATTTAGACTTATAATCTCATTCGGAGACATTTTAGGATTTAATCTTAAATATAATGCAGAACATCTAGAGACAAATATATGGTGATAAAAACTGATTATTTCATAGCGATACAAGGTAGTAGGTAATGTAATAGATATAATAAGATACTTGTAACCCCCAAATTTGTTTTTTGTGTGTATTTGTATGTGTCCCCCCCCCGCTCTTTGTGTGTGTGTGTTTGCTTGTTTGTTTTGTCTTATATTGAAAAATAAAAGGCTTTGACCCTTAGTGCTCATTAATATAGCCGGGCTTTGGAAAGAACTACCGTGGACCTATTTTTAAAAAGCTAACGTTGCCCTCCATTTATGAGAAATATTTTTAATTTTTTTTATTGATATCCCACTTTTTTCCCTAAGTGGGGACCCGAAGCACCTTTCCCCCTCATCATCCCCATTCTCGTCCTCCACTCAGTCCTCCCCGCGGCCCCCTCGGGAGGGCGGGGCAGGCTCAGAGTGTGTGACGGGGGCTTCAGTTAACCCGGCAGGCTTCCAAGACTTCCTTCCCTGGAAAACCCGCAAATATTCTTTCTCATCCGAGCCAGCTGTGCACTTTGATCTCCCGAAGATTCTGGTCTGCAGCCCAGAGGACCCCTTCCCGTCTTTACCTCATGAAACGTGATCTGGAAGATCCTTGCCTTCCTGCTGTTTCCCAGTCCCAGGGACAGCTCTGTTGCCTCTCTGGCTCGCTCTATCAACATGTGAATGGCCACCCTGCCAGTTCTTGCAGTTGGCAAGCTATCTGGTGGAACCTGGTGGAACAAGCTCCCGGAAGAGATCAGGGCCCTGCGGGACCTTTTACAGTTCCGCAGGGCCTGCAAGACGGAGCTCTTCCACCAGGCGTTTGGCTAAGGAGCCGCACCATACACCGAGGAGTGTCCCTGTGCCCTGGGCCTCGCCATCTTTGCTTTCAGCCTGTGCCGCGAGCCCTACCGTCATCGCCTTCAGCCTATGCCCGCCACACAATAACAAGAGCTGAGCTGGTGTGAAAGTAGAGTCACCTAACAGTTGCCTAAGCTACGCCATACAGAACTGTTCTTGGGCGAGCCAAAGTTCTGACAAGAGCTGTTCTTGAAAAAGAGCCATTTCTGTCAGAGCTCTCTCAGCCCCACCCGCCTCACAGGGTGTCTGTTGTGGGGAGGGGAAGGGAAAGGAGTTTGTGAGCCGCTCTGAGACACCTTTGGGTACCCCTCCTAAAAATATCCCTAGCTACAGGACTGCACAAGGCCCTCCCTGAACCGGAAAATAAATTTATTAATGGAGGATTGCCGTTGGCAGGACAGATAGGGCACAATCCAGAAAGCGTTAGGCAAGCGCAAGTCACATGGTTTTCGGCCCAGGTGTTCCACACAAGCTCTGGCTTGCAAGTGCGGCATCTCCGGAACCACTACATTCTGCCTCGCGCCCAGCCCTTAACGGTCCTTTCCTCCTAGAAATCCCCTCTCCAGGGAAGGAAAACAGGCAAGGAAAGCAAAGGTTCACGTTCTGGAGCATGTCGTGAATTTGAGAAGGAGCTGCTACATATTCTCATGCACTGTTCCAAAGGAACTAGACAAATTATTTTAAACTAAACTTTTAAGAATCTCCAGATGCGTGCTTTACACTGGGAGCAGCATTTGGCATATCGGTGACGTGATTCCTGAAGAAATGTTTCTTTCTAGCTCACGTGCAGAACGAAACAACGTTTAAACGGTCAACAGGACGCACAAGATTCCACACTGAAAACCCTGAACGCTACACACTGAAGCCTGATGTCCTCTCTGGTGGTGGTCCTGCAGGAAATGACCCCTGGTAAGATGTATTCCACTGTGAGCTGTATTCCACTGCGGAATGAGCTATCAAAAACTGAACTGCTACGGCCTCTATGCTATTGGCACTAAGAACAACTATGGATACTGATTTAGCTATATTGGACCACCATAGAACAATCGCCATCTGCACTTAATTGCACTTTGTATGTATATTGTTGTTACGTGAATTTTATAGTATTGCACTCATGTACTTGTGTTTTATTGTATTTTAACCTGCTGTGTGCCACCTTGAGTCTGCCTGTGTAGGAAACGCGGGTTATAAATCGAAAATAATAAATAATAAAACTGTAAAGTATGGCTCTGGGTAAAGAAACAGTCTCTGAGATACACTCCCCTGTTGTAGCTCAGCTACAGATGCCTACCTGTACAACATACCAGTGTTTCAGTTAGTGCTCTCGCTCTTCCCTGACATTGTGAACCCTCCCAGACATTGCACAATCCTGCCTCTTGTTCTAATATTTAATTGCAACTATTGCACTGTGTGACCCAGAGTGCTGGACTGGATGGGCCATTGGCCTGATGCAGCATTGGCTTCTCTTAGGTTCTTATGAGCCACTTTGACCAGTGTGGACAGACGGATGCGTCGCTGAACTTGGACAGACCCGGCTTCGACTCCCCGCCCAGCCATGATCTCATCGGGCACCCTTCAGGAAACTGGTCTCTCTGCCCACAAAACACAAATGCTGGTAACCTCCTCTAGGGGACTACTGTGAAGCCCAGTGTGATCAACGGTTGGATTCACTCGCTTTTCTCCCTGTGGAAAAGGGGGGGGGCTCCCCTTAGGCCACCACATTATGGGGGTGATCATGAGACCTGCGTGTGCAAAAGCCAAGTAGAACAGGGTGAGAGTAAGAAGGAGATTGGATTTATACCCCACCCTTCACTTTGAGTCTCAGAAACCTGGTACGCCCAGATTAGAGTCCGCGCATTAGACTGAGTGAAAAAATCTGACTGGATCCAACCCATAGACTCTGCGTAGCAAATAGCTGATTAGATGAACAATAAATCCAAATATTTTGGCTTAACTGGGCTTCCAGGCCCAATTCAAGGTGCCGGTGTTGACGTTCAAAGCCCTCTGCTCTGGTCATCTTTGGAAGCCTTGCATCCATATCCCTGTCGTCTGAGGCTGAGTTGCAACCAATGCTCCCTCCAAGCTGTGGAGTCTTGTGAACAAAAATTCTACTTTGTGAGCTACTGGCATGAAAACTGAGGGAGCGATTTGGCTATTGCATAGATTAGTTTGCTCTGGAGCCCTCCCTTCCTGAGCCAAGACAAAAATGTGTGAGCCGGAGGCTAGAAAACTCTGAGCTGGCTCACACTGACTCAGCTTAGAGGGAACGCAACCCAAGAAAAGGCTGTCTCTGTGGTAGCACCAAAAAGGTGTAATTAATTCCCCAGGGAGATCTGTCGGTCTCCCTTTTGTTGTCCTCCACCAGCAGGTAAAGAGCCAGTTTGGTGTAGTGGCTAAGTGTGCGGACTCTAATCTGGGAGAACCGGGTTTGATTCCCCACCCCTCCACTCGCACCTGGCTGGATGACCTTGGGCAAGCCGTAGTTCTGACAAGAGCTGTTCTTGAAAAAGAGCAGTTTCTGTCAGAGCTCTCTCAGCCCTGCCTGCCTCCCTGTTGTGGGGAGGGGAAGGGAAAGGAAAGGAGTTTGTAAGCCGCTCTTTGGGTAGTGAAGGGCGGGGAATAAATCCAATCTCTTCTTTTTCTTTTTTGTTTGTTTGTTCTGCTTGGCATTTCCTCACTAACATATTAACCCTCCTTCATTTGTTTTCATGTGTTCATAGGTTTTATTGAATTGTTTTAAATATATTTATTTGTGTCTGCAGTGCTTGCCGCCTTCGAGACCCTGAACTGGGTGGAAAGACGGCATTAAAAGCTTTTAAATACCATAATCTGAAGAAGGCATTAGCTGCCCTCAGTAATTGCTTCCCTCCACATTTTTCCTGGCTCCTTTGCATGCGTGTGGTGGGACACAATGCTGTCTGGGTACCTTTGTGCATCTAATCCACCCTTACAGTTGTGGTTTGTACAAAATAAGGTGGCTCTCTCTAAATTGAGAACTGAGAGCCTCATAAGGGAAGTCCCCCCTCATGTCGCCCATACGCATCTGCAGCTGCCCCCACCCCCAATTTAGAATTCAAAAGGAAAGAGGTACAGAACCCCAAGTTTGCCATCTAATCTGCCGTTTCGCACCCAGAAGCTAAACTCATTTCACTCTGCAAGACAGGTTATTCTCAGACGTGTGTCTAGGGGTGTGCACTTGGTATATGAGGGGAGCGGTGGTGCAGAGGATTTATCCTCTGGTTAACATCTGAACTGAACAGAGCTACTGTCAGTTCTAGGCCGCTCTGGTGTGAGCTACCAGCCTTGTCCCCATCTTGCCGTCCACCCAGCGGTTTGAAAGCTTCAGCGAGTAGATAAAATGGGTACCACTCCTTAGAGAGGATGGGCACACTAAACCCCCGTGGGGGAGGTGTTAGCCGGCGAACGGAAGGTCCAGCTCATAAGCTCGTAAGCCTGGAAAAAAGACCTCTTCGGCATTAAGAAGCCTGTGATGGGCCAATCCGACCAGGCGGTGGCAGTGCGGCACTACGACTCAAAGCAGTCCTGGAAGAACTGACGTCATCCAGCCAAGCCAAAAGTGAATGCCGTCCGGAACACGCCTGAAGCTTACAGCTGAACAAAATCCCCGTCGGCTGCAAAAGTGTGCGATTTAAAGAATTATATGTTGTCCTCCCTTACCCTATGAATCATTGTTAGTCCCGTGTGAAAACTTGTGTAACTGTAAATCGCTCAGAGCCAGCAGCTCTGCAGGATGAGCGATCAATAAATCGAAAGGTTCTAATCCACCCTTACAGTTGTGGTTTGTACAAAATAAGGTGGCTCTCTCTAAATTGAGAACTGAGAGCCTCATAAGGGAAGTCCCCCCTCATGTCGCCCATACGCATCTGCAGCTGCCCCCACCCCCAATTTAGAATTCAAAAGGAAAGAGGTACAGAACCCCAAATTTGCCATCTAATCTGTCGTTTCGCACCCAGAAGCTAAACTCATTTCACTCTGCAAGACAGCTTATTCTCAGACATGTGTCTAGGGGTGTGCACTCGGTATATACCAAGCCGAATAAATACCCGAAAAATACCTTATCTGTATTTTTCAGGTATTTATTCAGCCGAATCAGATTTTCTACCCTTCTGGGTAACTCACACCACTTCCGGGTTCCTTCCACATAACTTGGCAAAAGCCATTTAAAAGGAAAGTTCCCTTTAAATGGCTTTTGCAAAGCCAAGCCTCACGCGTGCCGTACCTTCCGTCTTCAAGTTGCGCCACGGCGGGGGAACACATCACAGAGCGAAGGAAAGGCATTTAAATTAAATCGTTCCCTTCTCTCTCCGAGTCATGCCACACTGGCGGCATGCCTCAGCAAAGGAAGGGAAGGTATTTAAAGAGGCTGTGTAAAGAGACAGACCTCGAATAAAGACCCTTACTCTGCCTCTCTTGATTATTATAATTTCTGGTACCCTGTTTTAAATTTCATTTCTCAAAACAAAAGCCGTTTTGATCAGAATTGTGTTATAGATGTTTTTAAAAAGGTAAAGGTAAAGGTTCCCTTGCTCGAAACCCAGTCAAGTCCGACTCTTTTTCCTGATAGGCATAATTATTTGTGGCTTAATTTTTTGTGGTATTGAGACCTATTGTATTGTGGAGTACATATTCTTTTCATTGGAACTTTCTAATGTGATAATCTGTATTTGGCACACGACAGTTTATTGTCACTGGTTTGTCTTTGTATCTGATGCTAAATTTTCAATCAAAACCTTTTAAAAAATGAGTTCCCTTCAGTTGCTGAGGCATGCCACTGCTGCGGTGAGACTCAGGGAGGGAAGAGGAGGAGGAGATTGGATTTATACCCCGCCCTTCACTCGGAGTCTCAGAGCGGCTTACACACTCCTTTCCCTTCCCCTCCCCACAACAAACACCCTGTGAGGCAGGTGGGGCTGAGAGAGCTCTTGACAGAAACTGTTCTTTCAAGAACAGCTCTGACAGAACTACGGCTTGCCCAAGGTCATCCAGCAGCTGCAAGAGGAGGAGTGGGGAATCAAACCCAGTTCTCTCAGATTAGAGTCTGCATACTTAACCACTTCACCAAACTGGCTCTCAGGAAGGAAAGGTATGGAGTCGACTAAATTTGGCATACCAATTATTTCCCAAATCCCAATATCATACCAATATTGGCATTTAGTAATATCGGTATATACCAATACTTTTCAGGTTTGGTATACCCGAACCAAAAAAATACTGATTTTTTTCTGTGTGCACACCCCTACATGTGACATCATTCAGTTAATTTCAAACACTTGGGTAACACCAATAAAAACTAAGACACACGGATGATACATTCTGTAATTTCTGTTACCGTTCAGCCACACTAGCCAAAGAGTGCCGTCTTAATCAGAGTCACACCCTTTTAAATCCCCTAAAGTCCAACGGCTTAGGAGGGCGTAGTTTTATTTAGGACGGCACCGGCAGTCACTTTCACACATCCGCCAATCCATTTTCTAGATTGATACAAACCCTATAATCCTCCTTTCTGAATATTCTTTTCTTTTGTTCACTAGCGGTCCGGTAAAGTTGAAGAAAGTTCTTCTTGAAAACACACCGGGTGTTCTGGGCACTTGCTGCAGAGGGACTTTGCTCAACACCATTTCCCAGGAAGTCAAATGCCTACAATTATCAAAACAGTTTTATTAGAACCGCTTCATGGTTAACACTGCAAATGGTATCAAAAACTGAGTGAGACAGTAAAATCCGGGGGCTTATGGCGCTTGCAAGCTGTCCAGGATAAGGTTAACTTTTAATGCCTTTGCTGAAACTAAAAATATCTCAGTCATGAGAAAGAATCTGGCAACGGCCAAGTACAAAGGCCTTCCGCCTTAAGACTTGGCTCCCCGTCAGCCAGAGGCCAGGCACGACATTACGCTCATGTATCACTGGACTTTCAGGACAGCGTTTCCTGCCCGGGCAGCAACCGTGGCCAATACTTTCAGCCCTGTTGCTTAACAAATAAGCAAAAATCCCCCCAGCGAGACTGGCTGAATATCAAGTCGAAGCCTAGCACAGCGAGGGTGTATCGGCAAACGAGAATTCCAGAATGTTCTTTTTAGTACAACGTCCCTATCGTTGTCATCAGATCCGAACCACCTTAACGATCACCTTCCCGTGGCCCCATATAAGAGTCTTTCTCAATGAGATTCAAAATCCCCTTCCTTACATTGGAGATGTTGTGCTTTAATTCAAATGCCAACTTTCACACACGAGCTTCCAATGATTTCTGGGCCAGTGGCGGCTCCGTCCTGGTGGAAAGAGCTCCCAGAAGAGATCAGGGCCCTGCGGGACCTGTTACAGTTCTGCAGGGCCTGCAAGACGGAGCTCTTCCACCAGGCCTTCGATTAGGGAGCTGCTACCATCGCCGCCACCATCACCATTATCTACATCACTATTAAAGAGACGCCCGACTCCACCATTACAGCCTGCGCCAGTCGTATAGATACGGCAAAGATCGAGAACCGAAGAATAAAGTAACCATTGCCGCCATCCCTAACGTATGAGTTACAATTAGCTAGCACATTATGTTTTAAACTGTTTTTAGATGGTTTTATCTTTGTTAGAATTGTTACGTTATTCTTGTAAGCCGCCCTGAGCCTGCTTCGGAGGGGAAAGCGGGGCATAAATCAAATAAATAAAAATAAATTTGGTACACAGCAAATCTTCGGATAAACTGTAATAGAGGCTGATCAAATGATTCGTCCAAGATTCGTCTCAAGACCCCAATTCCATGTGATAATTGGGATGCTACCTTAGGACTGAATCCCTGAATAGCACCTGGGATGTGACTGCCCCCCCGGGTCGAGAAGAACTGAGTTAACTGCATTAATGGTGGATCTAGCTTTTTCCACAGCACTAGTCAGATGGGCCTTCCAGCTCACATTCCTTTTACTGTTGAAGGGTTGTCCAAGGCTCCCTCTAAGCTGTGGAGTATTGAGAGCAGAAATTCTACTTCGTGAGCTGCAGGCATTAAAGCTGTGAGCAGGTGATTTGGCTACTGCATAGTTTGCTCTGGAGCCCTCCTTCCTGAGCTGAGACAAGAATGTGTGAGCCAGAGGCTAAAAAACTCTGAGCGGGCTCACACTGACTCAGCTTAGAGGAAACACTGGTCCTGTCCAAGGCTCCCTCTAAGCTGTGGACTCTTGTGAGCGGAAATTCTACTTGGTGAGCTACTGGCATTAAAGCTGTGAGCCAGCGATTTGGCTACTGCATAAATTAGTTTGCTCTGGAGCCTTCCTTCCTGAGCAGAGACAAGAATGTGTGAGCTGGAGACTAAAAAACTGTGAGCTGGCTTCACACTAACTCTGTCTTGTCCTGGTCTTGCATGGAGACTGGTCACGCGTCTAATGCCCCCGGGGGCTTTCTTTCTGGGCCGTAAAAACTCCTGCTGCAACTATGGTTACCTAGGGTGACGGTCCTCAACACACAATGTTTCCCTGTCCCTATCAGCGTAGCCGGCTAGGGGAAAGGGATGCTCCGCTCTGCTACAGAAACAGCCTCTTTTAAGTTAAGTGGCCTTTATTGGCACAGAAAGAATGGATACAAATTAGTACAGTATAAAAGGTAGGTTAAAACCACAGCAGACATATACAGCTGTATAAATATAAGATTATTTCTTTTTTTTAATAATTAAATACTTTATTGTTTTAATTTGTCAATACAGAAATTAATGTCAGAAAAGCTTCAAATTGTTAAAAGTACCTCAGAATACAATATTCTGAAACTATGTCAATGTGCTTTATACAACCTAACAATTTTACAGAAAGATCCTCTATTAAGCATAAAATCATTATCCTAATGAGTTAGGAAAGTAATAGATAAGTATTTCATCACCTGTTAGCCGACATTCCCATAGTAAATTTCACATCACTAGCCACTTGTGATAATATGCATTGGTTGGAAGTATACAAGTAGGCTCTCTTATTGAATCTGCCATAAAAAAATAGCAGAAGGCATGAACAGCCTCTTTTAGGCCTGTCCCCGCCCCCACCCACCCCCGCCACAGATATTTACGTATGCCCACAGACCTAGAGATTTTGAAGCTCAGAAAAGAACCCGGTTTTTTTCCGGAAAAAAACCAGAAATTTTCGGGAAAATTGCAAAAAAAAAGCTACATTAGCACTTCTTTTTTATTTTCCAGATTGAAAGTCATTCTGTTATTTTAGGAACATAAAATATGACTATGGACATTTAAACGGCTTCAGGGAAAAAAATGGGGGGAAAGGGGTTTTTTTCTGAATTTTTCCGGGTTTTTTCCGGGCCTTCACATCTCTACACAGACCTGAACTTGTACTAGTGTGCTCGCTTCACTACCTCCAAGAATTAGACTTGGGCATCTAGGTTTTTGAACCAAAGCCACGGGGACACACAGCAGGGAGAACCAGCTCCATAATTGACATCAGCAGTCGTTAGGAGAGGCACGTCACCTGCACAATGGGAGGCCTCCACGTGGTTCTGTCTGGAGACCCTCCGATCTGACGTCCTGCCCCTCCCCCACAGAAATGTTCTCGCAAGGTCTCAGAAAGGGAGCACATGGGAACGACCTCCCTGGATCATGCAAAGGGCGAATCTAATCCACATTCCCTTCCCAACGAAGGCTAACTCAGGAGTGTCGAACTCATTTGTGATGAGGGCCGGCTCTGACATAAATGAGACCTTGTTGGGCCGGGCCATGTGTGTCATAACATGTAATGCCAGGTAGCAGAGATATAAACTTTATAAAGGACGCAAACACAAAGGGGTTTTTTTTAACTTAAAATAAAAACATGCTTAAAACGTCAGCACTCTTGCAATATTTTATTTAACAGTGCCTGATAACTGACACCTCTTGCTCTGAATTATTGCATCAAAATGTCCGTGCTGTTGCAATCTTGAGTACGCTGTTCAGGTGTGTGTCTGTAAGCTGCAAACCTACTTTTGATTGATTGACATTCGCCACAGAAATCTCATGCTCAGAGTTCTGAGTCTAGGACCCAGGTTAAAACATAAAATGGCCGAGTGATTAAGAGAGTCTGGCGAAGCGAGCTATGATGCAGCAGCAGCAGCAGCAGCAGCAGCAGAACTGGAAGCAGGAGATGGCCAGTTCCACTCTGGGCCTGATAGAAGCCCTCTGGGAACCTGATCCAGCCCCCGGGCCGCATGTTTGACACCCCAGGGCTAACCAGGTATCTCCGGAAGTTTGCAAGCAGGGCACAATGGAGATGGCTGTCTCCCACTGCTTGCCTTCAGAGAAGACGTCAACCAGCCTTGAATGCTAAGATAGTGATTACTTGTCATACACAATGGCAAGGATTGCCAACATCCAGGCGGGGCCTGGAGATCTCCTGGAATTACAACTGATCTCCGAACAACAGAGATCAGTTCCCCTGGAGGAAACGGTTGCTTTGGGAGACTCCAATACCGTGCTGAGGTTCTCCGCTTCCCCAAGCCCTGCCCTCCCCAAGCGCCAACCCAAATCTCCAGTAAATGCCCAGCCCAGAGTGGGCCATTCTAACAGCTGACGACAGTAAACTACTATTCCTGCCAAACTCCACCCTCCCATCCCCCTGGTCCTGTAGTATTCTTCTCACTGTTGGACTCGGAACAAAACACACTAGATCTTAATGTCATCTAATTGGCAATATGAAAGTGTTAATTACATGCTTTTTTCCCTTTGCTTTTTTTTTTTTTTAATTCTCACTGTTGGACTCGGAACAAAACACTGGGGAAAAAGGGAAATGGGAAACCGTTTATTTGGTCACAGATTTTTTAATCCAGGCATATCCTGCTGAGCTTGTAGGCAAATGAGCTGCTTTATCTAACTCTGCACAAATTCCATAACAGTTAACTTAAGGCACAAACCACGTAGGGAAGCTTGCATTGCCGGCTTGCAAGGGAGCCGATTCTCTCTTTTCTCTCTTTTTTTTTCTTTTCTAATCTCTCACTTGGCAAAGTCAGATCAGTTTTTTTGGCATTTCTCTTAGTTGCCAGCGGCAACTTGTAGGGTTACCGAAAACTCCAACACTGGGCAGAAGGCAAAGAAATGGCAGGAGTCAGGCTTCCAAAGTTGTGGAGAGGAAATTAGCTTTAAAACTGGGAATCTTCTACGGAACCAGAGTTGCAACGGTCTTCACAGCAGGTCCCCCACAGAAGGCAAAGCCACAAACTTGTTACTTCGGCTACGAGACTCTCATTAATACCTTGCAGATCAATCAGAACTGTAACGTTAGAATCAAGCAGTCATAAGGATGAGGAGTTAAAAATGGAATTGACCTTCGCCAATCAGCAGACACAGTTTTGCAGGGTGTACTGGAGGACACACCTTCCCCGGTGGCTAGCCTTTTCTATACTCTCCAAGAGCCGTTCTGAAGAGCAAACCTGTTTTGTTTCTGCCTTAAATTTTCTGCGCACGTTCTAACAGATCAAAAAGGTACAAAGTTTTGTCTGACTAGGGCAGCAAGTATCTAAAGGTAAAGGTTCCCTTGCTCAAAAGCCAGTCGAATCCGACTCTAGGGTTGCGGTGCTCATCTCCGTTTCAAAGCCGAAGAGCCAGTGCTGTCCGAAGACGTTTCCGTGGTCATGTGGCCGGCATGACTAAACACCAAGGCGCACGGAACGCTGTGACCTTCCAACTGAAGTGGTACCTATTTATCTACTTGCAATTTCTTGCTTTCGAACTGCTAGGTTGGCAGGAGCTGGAACCAGAGATGGGAGCTCGCTCTGTCGTGCGGCAAGTATCTATAACCACACAAAACAAGAAGTTCTTCGACTGTAGCTAGTTCTTCTGTGCACCAGTTTCAAAGGCAGAGTTTCCACCGGCAACGGTGATTCTTGACAGCGAATTTTCAAACAGGCAAATCGCCCCACTCCAGAATTAAAGTTAGGTGGGTCACGCAGTGTTCCCTCTAAGCTGAGTTAGCTCACAGTTTTTTAGCCTCCAGCTCACATATTTTTGTCTTCGCTCAGGAAGCATAGCTCCAGAGCAAACTAATTTATGCAGCAGCCAAATCATTCACTCACAACTTTAATGCCAGTAGCTCACAAAGTAGAATTTTTGCACACCAGACTCCATAGCTTAGAGGGAGCATTGGTGGTCAGGCCACTGCATTTGACTTTTAATGTCCCTCATTCTCACATGCATCCCTACCATAAACAAGCCATAATTACACAGTTTTTGAATTGCACATGGCTTAGATTTGCACATTATAAATTAATTCAGCAGCGTCACAGCTATGTTGCCGGCAAGCTGTCAAATACACATTTTTTGACCGGAAAGCTCGATAGGTACTAGATGGAAAAAGCTACAGGAGAGTTGTAAGCCTCGTTACGGTACACAATGACAACTCCCCGGTTAGACAAGGAGGGGCCATTTAAATCACGTAGCAGGGTGCAGTCAGAGAACAGCTACGTTAACAAGAACTCCGGCCAGCACAAAGTGAAGCGTCCCAACGTCCAGGGTATCTCAAGTGACCGTTTTGGAAAACCTCTTGTCAGATGACGGCTGTATGACGTCATGTTTGTCTCCGTTTCAGTTTGACGGAACACCTGCGAGTAGTCCGAGAGAAAACACGCTGGCTGCGATCCAAAGATGACACTAAGGGACACAGACGGCAACCATGGAGAGCGGTTTCTCCTGCCGGTCAGTTTGACCGCTGAAGAGACAAGCGTTATTCGGTTTCACACCGCTTGTCTGTCAGGCAACAGAGGACTGGGACCGAAATATCCAGGAAAACGCTGACCCGAGGGCCTTATTCTCACCAACATACTTAAATACCCCCCCAAATACGTCAAGATGGGTAGCCGTTTTAGTCTGTCTGTAGCAGTAGAAAAGAGTCCAGGAGCACCTTAAACTCTAAAAACATATTTGGCAGGGGAGGAGCTTTCGGGAGTCGCGGCTCACTGATTCGGATATCTGAAAACGGAGCAGTGACACCCGAAAGCTCCTCCCCTGCCACAAATTCTGTTAGTCTTTAAGGGTCTACTGGACCCTTGCTCTTTTCTAATACCCCCCAAAAATGTGAAGTAAATCTGACCTATTTCCAATGATACTCAGTTGCGTGTAATATCTTTTGGATTCACATGTAAAATGTTTCGGAGTCACAGGGAACATTTGTGCGAGCTACTTGTGAGAGCCAGTCTGGTGTCGTGGTTAAGTGCGCGGACTCTAATCTGGGAGAACCGGGTCTGATTCCCCACTCCTCCACTTGCACCTGGCTGGATGACCTTGGGCAAGCCGTAGTTCTGACAAGAGCTGTTCTTGAAAAAAGAGCAGTTTCTGTCAAGAACTCTCTCAGCCCCACCGACCTCACAGGGTGTCTGTTGTGGGGAGAGGAAGGGAAAGGAGTTTGTAAGCCGCTCTGAGACACCTTTGGGTAGTGAAGGGTGGGATATAAATCCAATATCTTCCTCTTCTACTTCTTTTAAAGGTAAAGGTTCCCTTGCTCGAAAGCCAAGTCGAGTCCGACTCTAGGGTTGCGGTGCTCATCTCCGTTTCAAAGCCGAAGAGCCAGCGCCGTCTGAAGACGTTTCCGTGGTCATGTGGCCGGCATGACTAAACACCAAGGTGCACGGAACGCTGTTACCTTCCCACTGAAGTGGTACCTATTTATCTACTTGCAATTTCTTGCTTTCGAACTGCTAGGCTGGCAGGAGCTGGAACTAGAGACGGGAGCTCAGTGCCAATTTTCCCTCTAAGCTGTGGAATCTTCTGAGCGAAAATCCTACTTTGTGAGCTACGGGCATTAAAGTTGTGAGCGAGCAATTTGGTTGCTGCATAAATTAGTTTGCTTTGAGGCCATCCTTCCTGAGCTAGAGCAAAAATCTGTGAGCTGGAGGCTAAAAAACTGTGAGCCAGCTCACACCAACTCAG